CAGCAATCACTTCACAGCAGTTGGGTGGCCCATCTCTCTAGTGGAGAGAACTTTGTAGCTTTCTTTAAAGTGTTCAATGTGCAAAAACACCTAATATTTAGCTCAATCGTTCTTTCGTACGCTGTAGTTGCACCTGGTTGCGCAGCAAACTCTGCAAGAAAGTACGGCTTTGCACTACCCAAAACTGCGTTGACAGGTGGCGCTTCATGTTCTGAAAACTCCAGTCTCTGACGTAAATGGACCTTGGAGGCAGCTACTGGCATATCGATGTTGAGCAGTGGGACCACAAAAAACGGCATTTATTATGCCAGACGTCCTTTACGAATTCAGGGTCCTGCCTTTCGGCGCATGATGGACTCTGTTCTTTTAGGTCTAAAGTGGCAGCTATGCCTCATCTATTTAGATGATTTGCAACAGAATCGAAAGTTGGGCTAGTTGGATATGCATGGTATCGTGGACATGCATGGTATCATGCATGATATGCATGGTGTGCTTGAACTGACAGTTATTTAGATGATATATAATGGTCTCTTCTGAAACCTTCGACCAGCATTTTGAGTGCCTACAAGCAGTTTGCAATGCAACTTGCAGGGCCGGTTTGTCTTTAAAGCGTGAGAAATGCTGTTTGGGACATAAGCTCAAATCTTTAGGCCACGTCGTCGGCTACAACGTAATTGAATCAGACCCCGACAAGACACTTGGCATTGGTTCTTTTCCAACACCTGCAAAAAAACACGAACTCTGGTGCTTTCTGGGGCATTGCACCTATTACAAACGCTTCGTCGCAAACATTTAAAGATAGCTGAACCTCTACGTTGGCTTACAATGGCTGATGTTTCATTTGGGAGCAAGAGCAACAATATGCCTTCTTTGAATTACACAGACGTTTGCAAACACCTCCTATTCTGGGGCACTTTGACAAAGACTGCAACACTGAGCTGCATACAGATGCAGCAATGTTGGTCTTGGTGCTGTTCTCTTAGATGGAGTCGAGCACGTTATCACTTATGCAAGTCCTCCTTTGTCACCGGCTGAAACGAACTATTTCTCTACGGTGGTGGGGTATGGGCCATTACTAAGTTCCCACTATATCTGTATGGCGGACTGTTTCGTCTTGTGACAGACCACCACTCCTTCTGCTGACTGGCCAATCCAGAGATCCATCTGGCCGTCTTGCACAGTGGGGTCTTCTTTTACAAGAGTATCACATGAGGATCACTCTCAAGTCTGGGTGTAAGCACACTGACACTGACTGCTTGTCACATGCTCCACTTAAACCTTCGCAAGTTGTCGTTAATGAATAAGGCACATTCCTTTTTATTTTCATGGTGTTCGATAAGAGCAACACGACGACGATTCAGAGCTCCGGCCACGCACAGACTATCTCGAGGGCCTTATGCCGGAGCCATCTTGTACGTTTGCCTGTACGTTATCATCGCGTTGCTTATGCGATGTTGTCCTCTATAAATTAGCTTTTTAGTCAATCGCAGCTGCCTGCCTTCTTGTTCTGCCGTCCACACTATGTGACATTTTATGTGTCTGTCACAACGAGCAATGATCGGGCCATTTGGGCTCCACACGAGCCCTTACGAGTAATTGTCTAAGGTACGTCTGGCCCAACCTTCACAACGAGGTAAAGCAGTATGTTAAAATGTGTTACAACTGCCAAAGACGCAGGACACCACCTGTGTGTCCCGCTGAAATTCTGCATGCCATTGATGTGCCATCGAATTTTTTTCAGCAGGTTGTCATAGGTTCGCTCTGACCATTCTACACGTCAAGAGCAGGTAATTGTTGGATTGCTGTTTTTTCGTAGGCTACCTTACCTGATAAATTGAAACTAAAGCTTTCCCAAGAGGCACAGCAACCGATATTGCGACCTTCCTTGTACATAGCATCGTATTTCGTGTCAGTGCTCCAATAGCGGTTATAACTGACAAAGTGCGGTATTTACAGCGCTGCTGGCAGAGGATATCATGCAGCTCTGTGGTATCTCTCATTGAAAAGCCACTGCTTACAATCCCCAGACAAATGGGCTCACAGAGTGGCTGAACAAAACCATAGCAGATATAATTTCCATGTACTATGTTGACATCGACCACAAAAACTGGGACAATGTTCTTCGACATATACGTTACGTCCACACATAATACTGTCCTCCATTAAACTACCAGCTTCACTCCTTTCCACTTGCTACATTGCCAGGAAGCTGTAATGTTGTTGGACGCCATGCTTTTATCCACTCACTGTTACAATGTTAGCAGTGATGCTGCTGAATTTGCTAGATACGCCAAAGAAGCATGCCTGCTCGCACGAAGTAACGATTAGCAGCACAATGACGCCTGCTGTTAGAACATCCACTGTGGAGGCGTCACATACCAACCAGGTGGCAAAGTGCGAGTGTGGACCCCTATTCGCCAACGTGGTCAGTCAGAGAAACTTTTGCACTGCTACTTCTGCCTTGAGAAGATCGTCCAATGGTTCAGTGGCGTTACTTACGGAGTGCTTTCTGAAAGCAAAGCAACCATACGCCGTTTTTGGTATTCGCGCTAGTTGGACGTTGTTTATGTATCTCAGTTAAAGCCGTACTACTTCCCCTGAGAGCAAAGCTGTACACGTTGCTCATCATTTTCTCTCCTTGTTAGGGTCTTCACTCCATAATAGTTTGACTTCAAGGCAATGCTCAAGGGGAATAATGCCACAGCACTTATGCAAATAATGAAATTTCAGTGCAATGATTGAAGAAACGAGCGACGAGGCATCTTGAGTAAAAAACATATTCAATGCATTTCCAGGTGCCATGACACAATGTTCAGGGTTCTTGAAACAAATGTTTTTTATTTAGAGTGGCAATCTGAAAATATTTAATATATGTGTCAATACTCCTTTAAATGAATCTTGCATGGTCACTTGAAATAATCTAATACATTGTCAGAATATAGGGGGAAAAGAAGCTTATTTTGTTGGGGCTGCAAAAAAGTCTTATATGCTTGCAGATTGGTAATGCTGTTTCATGCATGAGGCAACACAAACCATCCTGACGATCAGTATCTGATGCATATCTGATGTGTTGGGCTTCGGACAATTCGGATTTGAATTTGCAGTTAACATGAGTGGCTGCTCGGGCACGTTGGCAGAATGCTATTCGATCATTCTAGCGACTATAGGCGGCGCAGCGGAAGGTCGAAATGGTGGACGAGACGGTGATGTGGGGAGCGTTTACGTCAGCGTCGCAAAGTGTGAAGATGCGTTTATTGGTTTACGATTACTGAGAGACCGAACTGCGTCGCAGTTTTATCACCGTGTGACAGCTTCGGAGCACGGCTACATGGCGCCGCCTATGTCGCTGGAATGACCGAATAGCAAGAACTGACTATTGCATTCTAAATCGACTCTGCTACATCCTAGGTACAGATCACAGTCTTTTACGTGACGCCAACATGGCTCCTAACATGCTATCCAACACTAGTTGTACGGAAAAAAGGTACATCAAATGACCGGACATCTTACAAAGCCTTTGAACTTACCAGAAATTACCTTAGACATTGAAGGATGTGCAAGTGGCCCATGCATTTAGCCACGCAGAGCAACAGCAGCTGGATGCCAGGCTAAAAGAAGTGTGTACTAACTGTGCCCCTCCTTTATGTACTGTGTGACTTTCAAAATTGAATATCGGAGAGAAAGAGATTACATACAGAAAGAAGCAACGAAAGACTGTGTGCGTTAGAGTACATGCCTGTGCTCACCCATGATAGTTGGTATAACCATCAAATGCTGATTAGCCCACATTCTGCTGTTTCATGACTTCTACCCTGATTAATACAGTAGAGATATTCTATATATTCTCATTAAATGGAAACTGAAGAGACCGAAAAATTGTTTCATATAGCAAGAGTATCGCTTATTGAGAACTATCTTGGGTTCCGAATTCAAATTCGATACCTATCGTATTAGAGGTGGTTGTTCCATTTGAGAGATTTTCATTAACCTTGTGGGGTCACGAAATGAGGCACCACGCTCTCGGAGTGAACGGACGCAGCAGACGCGGTCGGACCGAACCGAACAAGACATTTATTTTACTGCTTTTAAAACGACGATATCGCCAGCCGAATCAAAATACATCTGTTGGGATCAACACGCTTAAACAACCTTGCACTATATTCCACAACACTCAACAACATAACAAGCACAAGGCGGCGGCGCCAATGCTCGAGTCGCCACGAGGGTCTGCGAGCGACGATCTGCGGTGCCGTCCTAACGGGCCCATTGCGAGAGACAATCGCTCGCTCCGACTGCCACATGCCAAAGAGGACCACTCATCTCTCATGTGCCACCACCCAGGCTTGTCACCAGGCATCATTGCCGGCGCTACCACATTAACCATGATGATGGTGGTGGTGGTGGTAACAAACTCTCGCGAGCACAATTCCGCCTATCGCTCGATAGTTGTGAACCCTAAACGCGGGCTCTGCGTGAAACATATGCGCCACGGTGCGCAGTTGACTTTACAGGGGGTGTCAGCACCCCCACAACCTGCTGTTCAAGCCACTGGGTTGGGCTGCTTGACTGGGTCACCTATAAGCGATTGGGCAGCCATGTGAAATCGTAGTTTGCAAGGTGTTGTGGCGACCAGCATTTTGTGGCACTGCCTGCTTTTGCACCTACTGCGACAGCAGCCAGAGCAGGTGCAGTGCACTGCTACATTTGTGTGATCTGCAATAATGTGGCAACATGTACAGGATATTTGATGCTTCACCCATTCTATGCAGTGTATTTCGGCCCTGGAATTAATGACGAATTCTCATCGCGGAAATGTGTACCAACCGCAGTTGTGTTACCACAGTTTTATTGCGTCTATAGAAGAATACACCTTACTAGTAAAAGCTGGATTACAGTGGCTTCTTCTTGTCCCTTCAATAAGTGTGCATTTGAGTTTTAGAAACTTACTTTTTGTCTTTGTAGCTATACAAGCTGCTTTGCCTGTGTTTCAATTTTTACAGACTGCTTTTTCAAACGGCACAGCAGCGAAGCAGACACAAAAAAGGAAGGCCACTGTGAAGCCAAGGTCGGCATCTGTGTCTTCTCGGGGCGGTGACGCTTTCAATCGCGTTTTCATGCGAGAGTTGAGGAGGATTCAGAGCCACCTTGAACAGCAGATATGAGATGCACCTGCCACGAAACCATGATTTCTCAAAAGTGGTTCTCTGATCTCACGTTCAGAGCTTGTAGATCATTCCATTGCCTGTTGAGTGCGTTTGCAGGCTTTTGAGGTCTCTAAACTTGAGATAAGCAGTGTGTGAGCCATTTGTATTCACAGAAGGAAAAAATATTCTTGATTCCTTAGGTGTGTGATATGAAGCTACACTGCAGTTATGCTCAACAATGCAAATGTTGCACTGCAGTGTTGGAGTTGAGCCAGCATTGTCAAGGACCATATTTTACTGGATATGTGGTCACATACGTCTCTTTGCGTGCATGTACTTCTGACGCTGTGTGATAACTAGTGAAAACGTAAAATTCTATTCAAACAGCCATCGAATGCCCTGTCATGTCACCTTATGGCATGTATACTGAAGTGATTCGTCTACACCTTCTTGTTTGAAAATTAGGATGCTGCTAATATTAAGAGAATCATCTATTAACAGAATCAATGTTGTTGGTGCACCATTATTTGCAAGACACTAGTGGGAAAATGCTGCCTCATCATGGGCATCGGGGCCTCGACAATGACACCATGTCTGCCAGGTGTGTGGATGGGATATAACCTGACTTGTCTAGTTTTGGCAAGTTGCCCTTATGGGTGACTGCCAGTAAATGGTCTACCATTTCCTTAAGTGCCATTCTGTTGTACTGTTTTGTAACTTGTACCTGTGGCTGTGCCATAGCAGTGTTGTAGCATTTGAAAAGAGCAGGGAGATCGAAACCCGAGGAGATTGTTTTTGCTTTTCCAATAATAAACTGTTTTTTTTTTGCATAGTGTTTCCTTGATATGCTTGTATTATAGTTTGAATTATATTAATCAAACCATTGGCTATACAGCCAATTAGCGGGCAAATGTCTCCAAACAAGCTTTAATTAACTGGATACTGTTACATTTTGTTTACATATTTCAAAACGCTCCCCACAGGACAGCAATGCTGTCCCTCTAACTGTTGCGGCGAGACTGCTGTTCTTGCATATTTGCACTCATTCCAAGGGTTTCCCCCTACTTTAGACAGAGAAAGATGTGCTGTTTGGATTTCAAGTTCACACAACAATTAATCAAATAAGTGGAAGTGATGCTCTGAAAAGGCCATGAACCACATTTCCTATTAATCGGTGAATGGCTTCAGTATTGGGGCTTATTGTCTCGTGAATCAATTGCCGCAGAAATTTCGCAGATGCAACAAGCATGATTAGAGTTGCAGGAATTGGATGCAAGCTTTAAGCATGTCCTTTCTTCTCTCCCTTATGGCTATGCTGAAAGCTATATAGGGGGGGGGGCATAAGGGGAAAGAATTTGCGCCAGTGTGCATCGTGATCGTGAGTGTGCATGATGAAACGAGATTGTTCTCTTTTTTATCGATTACCTTGTGTGCAACTGTGGCCACTGCGTAATGTTAGCATACTTTGGAGCGCCCCGCCGCGGTAGCCTAGTGGCTAAGGTCACTAGACCACCGCGGTCTGTGGCTGCTGACCTGCAGGTCACGGGATCGAATCCCGGCTGCGGCGGCTGTGTTTCCGATGGAGGCGGAAATGTTGTAGGCCCGTGTGCTCAGATTTGGGTGCACGGTAAAGAACCCCTGGTGGTATAAATTTCCGGAACCCTCCGCTACGGCGTCTGTCATAATCATAGGTGGTTTTGGGACGTTAAACTCTACATATAAATCAATCAATCAATACTTTGGAGCACGATGCCAGCTCGTGGGTGCGCCCCATGACAAGTACCGCATCCGATCCAAACGCCAGCTTGGTTTACGTCCGCTATAGACCAGCAGCAGCAATCAGTTGCTGTGACAACATGCAGCTGGCATCCTATTTACTGTGGAGAGCACATTTGAGAAAGTAGGATCTTGATGCTTAGCTTGCAAAGACTCCTTGCTATACAGGACTGCAAGATTTGGTTGAGGTGTTGTTGACAGCAGCATTGTGTTTCTGATTTTTCTGTTATTTTACAAATGCAAGGGTAGGTTTTAAAATTGCACAGTATTCAGTGTTATTTTCTTTGTGTTGTTTTAAAACTGTGCTATGTGGCATGCCTGTACAAATCCTTTTCACTGCATGGAGTAGCCTGTTGTTTACAAGGCATGTCATTACAGGTAAAATCAGTGGTGACACACAGTAGTCCAATTTTGGTGCACTTTCTTTTTTTGCAAGGGCCACTGTAGAGAAATCACAGATGCAGATGTTCTTCACTGATGTACCATATCTGTTTTGCCATCACTTGCAACTACATGCGGTGTGTGATCTCTCGCAGAGTGACCTAAAGACTGCCTGTAATGTTGAAGCAACGTCTGCAGCATTCTGCTGCTGGGCACAATGTTGACGGCTCACTTCTTAACTGGAATAGATGGCAAAGGCATCCATATTTGGATTTAGGAATATGATAAAGGTAGAAATCAGACTTGAGTGCTCCACTATGATATTTTGTCACAATGTTGCTTTGGAATGCTTGATGCCATAGATAATTTGTTGGTGTCGTTAGTGCTTGGAACACTTTTTATGAGAAGGACACTCGTTAGTATCTGCATTTTCAATGAAGGTGGAAGTGCTTGAGGTCTGTGTGCTTTGATTTAGGTGCACGTGTAAAAAATCCAGGTTGTCAAAATTTCTAGAGACCTCTACTATGGTGTCTTTCTTAATCATATTGTGGTTTTGGGACTTTAAATTCCAACAATCATTATGTAAGTTTGGATGAAAATGAAGTGCCTATCTTGTCATGCTTCCTGTTAAACTTCAGGAACGTGTGAAATGTTGAAAGCAATGTTCTTAGTTGATGGCAGATCATGTAATATAAGCTTCTTGCTTTTGATGTCATTGCACTATGCCATTTTTTTTTAATGACCAGTGCCTTGAATGTTCACCCCATGCAAAGACATTTGAAATTTATTTTTTTGCGTACTATAATACATTCTAAAGTGCCAGTAGGGTAATAAAAACATTCCATGACGAACAGAAACGTGCAACTGCTTTTTTTACAAGAAACTCAGATATGCTTCTTACCCGTATTTTGGTAAGTATTTTCGTTCTAAGAATTGCGCTATCTTGAAATACGCTTTCTAATGCTTCTGGACTGGAGGCTCTTGTTCAATAACAGAGATCACTATCTTTCCTCTGGCATGGCCTTCCTTCATCTTGTGGTAGGCTGCTGGAACTTCGAGGAAAGGAAAGGTGCTGCTCACATAAGGCGTCACCTGCAAGGGTGATACGGTTGTAGTATTCCATTTACTCTCAATTTTTTTCTGACATCAATCTTGTTCAAGCACTTGTGTGGAGAGTTTTGTCTTGGCAAGGCACTAAAGATGCCTATGTTTGGTGAGATGAATTATAGAAAGTCGGCAAGCCTCAAATCTTGTGTATGGCTTGATAGCATAGTTCAGCAAAACACGTGGTGAACACTGGTGTAATTGCTCTAATGGATAGACAGATAAATTTTATTATGGTCCCTCGAAATGTGCTCTAGCATGTTTCGAGCTACTGCCACGTCGAAACGATGTTTTTAAAAAATTTTTAGGGGCGAAGTTCCTAAAGCCATGGGACTGTTCATCCCTTGTACATGACCGCCTAGTTTTATGACTTGCTCAGTAGACTGACGGAAGAACGGACAGGGAGACAGACAGACGGACCCTTCGCCCCACTCATCATCTACTCCATGGATATACTGAGATTTTTTTTTATAGAACTTCACTTAAATTGCATGTAGGTCTCAATGGCTTGCAACACTTTCTGTACTATATTTTCTAGTGTGAACATAAGCCTCCAACAAAATGTCTCGTATAATAGATGCATATTGGCATATATTGTAATGCAGAATATCAAGCTAACATATTTCAGTGACGGCATGGTATTGTAGCTCTGTTGCCTGTTGCCTTGTTCAGGCTCTTGTGTGCTACAGCACCAGCAAAACACCAAGATCCAGCCAGGAAACATAGATGGCAAAGTAGTGGGCAGAACTTTACCAGAAGAACGAAGAGAAAGTGTACCTTATCAAACTTTTATTTTAAAGATAAAAAAATAAAAATCTGAGCACAGTGAAGGGTTCCGTGATGTGACACTACGCACACTCAAAATTGCCTACATAGTGAATGCGCATTTGCCTTTTTCACGAATGGATAGAGTCAGGCTGCAAAATATGTGTGGCATTACGTTAGCTGTTATGCATTTGCTAAAATTCTTTCCACAACTTGATATTTTCGAGCGTATTTCACAGTTATGACATTCCAAATTATGCCATTTCTCAAGAGAAGCATTAGTGAGAGTGTGGAACTCTGCACAATTCTAAAGGCAATTGACAGTTTGCACCAATGAATAAGTAAGGGATAGTTTTTAGAAATAGTCATATAGTGAAACTTCTAAATGAACACATTCAGAACAGGCACAAAGGACTGAAATGTTTCCACCATACTGATGAGTCGAAATATGTGCTGTTAATGCATGTGACAATATTACCTACATTATCATATTTCACGGCTGCAGTGCTTTCTGTGAAAATACGCTTCTGCAACAAAATGAATTAGGCAAATGAACAACTGTGTACGTGGTGGTACACACCTTGCCAAGGTCGACAAGCTCTGTAATTTCCTTCAATGCACAGCCGTTGGGGCAGAAGAAAGCCCAGCGGGCACTGCGGCCATCGGCGAGCTCCTGCGAGTTATAAACACATTTCGATTCCGATCTCACATTTGCAGTTTCCTGTAGCAAAATCAAGGTTGCCTGCAATTAGTGCCTCGAAGTGGGTGTTATGCTGTCGGGATATTTGTGCCTCTAATGTACATCCTGTTTGTCATCGTACGAGACACGCAATGGGCAGCAATTCTATTTGATTACATGAGGTGTCTCGTAAGCAGGGTACCTCGTATGCATTTTGTTATCAACGCTAGCACACTAGTGTCTCTTATACCATTCGTCTTGTACATCAGTGTCTCTTATAATGGGGCCCAACTGTATATAATGCGAAACATCTTTATGTCAGATGCACTGCCTGCCTACAGGACTTTGTCAAGGTGATGTGCTGATTACGGTACATGACCTTGACTAATGACTAAGTGTCTAGGGATGAACGAAATATTTGTGGTGTGACTACGTGACGGCTTTTTGCATGTGCTGCGCCCTCTCCTTTAGTGCACTCAAATATATATATATATATATTCGTATAGGAAAGAAGACGCACGTACGAAGTTATTTTATTAACGTTTCGGCCGTGGGTCCGGCCTTCATCAGAATACATTTTATGGTACGAGTGCTGTTTATATACATGTGCATATCAGTAAGATACAAATGTGAAAACCGGCATGAAAGGCGATATATTGGCATATATATATATATATATATATATATATATATCTATATATATATATGCAAGTCACACAATATGAAGGGCACCTAATCTACGAGTAAAAAGATATTGCTACCATGCGCGAGCACGTTGTTTACAAATAAAAGATGAAACGCATAAAAGATAAAGCACATAACATGAAGAGTGGTCCGACCGGTAAAAGCAAGAGAAAAAAAAAGAAAAAAAAACGATAAAATACTAATAAAAATCATAAAGACGTTACAAAGCTACTACGTAATCAACGGATACAGCCAATGTAGTGCGACTTGCTGAGCAAGGTTGAAAAAACTTTGTTTCTGGTATAATTGATCTGATTGTTCCTCAAGGTTCCTTTTTGGTCACGCTAGACGTAGCGTCTTTATACACCAACATTCCGCATGTAGATGGAATAGCGGCAGTCGCCAGGTCCTATGAAGCAGCATCACCCGGTAAATTTATCGACAGCAACACATTAGCAGTATTGCTCAGGCTCATTTTAGAGCTAAATAACTTTCGATTTGAAGGGCAACACTATGTCCAAGTTAGCGGTACGTCAATGGGTACGCGTATTGGACCCAACTACGCCAATATATTCACGGGCCAGCTTGAAAGTGAATTTTTGCAAACCCGCGCATTGAAACCTTTTTATTATAAACGTTACATTGATGACATTTTCCTTATTTGGCCGCATGGTGAACAGGAGTTGCTTTCCTTCATATCTGACTTTAATGATGCCCATCCATCAATATCATTTTCTCATACCTATTCCACATCAACTCTCAGTTTTCTTGATGTAAGCATTTCGATTGTAAATGATAAGCTATCCACTGCTCTATACAGGAAGCCTACAGACCGGC